TTAAGGTTGCAGACAATAAAACAGTAGCAGTAAAAGGTAGTGGCAAGGTGGATTTTCAGATTAGAACCTCAGATGGCATAATACGGACAATACAGGTCAGTGATGTCTTATATGTACCCACACTGACAGTTAATTTACTTTCTGTAAGTCAAATGGTAAATAAAGGCTGTGAAGTGAAATTTGAGAGAGATAGTTGTCAGATATACCAAAATAATAAGTTAATATTGACAGCATTGCATCGCAATAACATGTATATATTGAATAATGTTTCTGAAGCAGCGGCATTGCTATCAACAGCGAGATATAAATTTATGGCATCTAAGAATGGGCCATCTCAATTTCACAGACTTACAGAAGGTAACTGATAGTGCAGACGGGGTTGAATTATCAAAAAAAGGTAATCAAATATGCACAACTTGCTTAGAGGGAAAAATGAGTAGACAACCATTTAAAAATACTGGTACTAGGGCTTCAGAATTGCTCCAATTAATTCACTCAGATTTATGTGGCCCGATGGAGACAAGTTCTATTGGCGGTGCCAGATATTATGTTACGTTCATTGATGATTATAGTAGGAAAGTATCTGTCTATTTCATGAAGAGCAAGTCTGAAACTTTAGATAAGTCTAAAGAATTTAAGAATTTAGTAGAAAATGAAACCAATAATAAAATAAAGACGTTACGCACAGATAATGGAAAAGAATATGTAAACAATGATTTTAAATTGTTTTTGTGTAAATCTGGTATCCAGCATCAAACAAGTAATCCATATACACCACAGCAAAAAGGTATGGCAGAGCGTATGAATCGCACATTAGTAGAGAGAGCTAGATGCCTAATTTTGAATTCCAGATTACAGAAAATATTTTGGGCTGAAGCGATCTCAACAGCGGCATATATAACAAATCGTTCACCAACAAAAGCTTTGGACTACAAGACGCCATATGAATTGTGGACAGGTAAAAGACCAAACTTAAATAACATGAAAATATTTGGTTGTTACGCAATGCCACTTACTTCTTTGCAAGAACAGGAAACAACAGCCAAACAAGAATCTGATACCGATACTTTAGTAAATGAAAGTTCAGAAGAGGAACAATTGTATGATACCAGCAGTGATATGTCAAATTCAGAAAGAGATAATGACCCTGATTACACACCGAAAAGACATGATGACGATTCTATACCATTAAGAAATATAACTCTGAGGTCAAGGAATATCAAACCCAAATCTACTACTTATTTTTGTTATGAAAAAAAACCAACATGTTCATCAGCATTATTAAAGGAACCAGAGACTGTGGAAGATGCTCTATCAAACCCAAAAACAAAAGAGTGGAAAGAAGCTATGGATAGCGAGTATGAATCGCTTCTTCAGAATAATACATGGACATCGGTAACTCTACCTGAAGACAAAAGAATAATCCCTTGGAAATGGGTTTACAAAATGAAAATTGATGCAAATGGTGAAGTTGTACGATACAAAGCAAGATTAGTAATAAAAGGTTTCAGACAGAGGAGAGGAACTGAATATAATGAAATTTTTGCTCCAGTAGTACGGTACACTACAATAAGATATTTGTTTGCACTAGCTGTAAAAGAAAATTTATATATAGATCATATGGATGCAGTTACAGCATTTTTGCAGGGAGATATAGATGCTGAAATATATATGAATCAACCACCTGGCTATAAACACGGACAAGAAATTTGCAGATTAAATAAGTCTATTTATGGCTTAAAACAGGCGAGTCGCCAATGGAATTTGAAACTTACTTCTGTTCTCAAACAGTTAGGATTGGAAAGTACGTCTGTTGATCCATGTATTTACTACAAAAATGATAATGGAAACATCATCTTTATATTGATCTATGTTGATGATTTATTAATTTTTTATAATAATGAAGAGAAAGGTAAAGAGATCAAGCTACAACTTAAAAGTAAATTTGAAATGAAATCACTTGGACCTGTCAATTATTTTATTGGCTGGAGGATAAGTCAAAACGCGGCCAGAGACCAAATTTATATTGATCAGACTGCTTATATAGAAAAAATCCTACAGAGATACAATATATGATCTTAGTTCCAAATTGATCAGCACAGGAGATGAAAATAATATTATTAGTAATGCACCTTATCAAGAAGCTATTGGGAGTTTACTTTACTTATCACAAGGAACAAGACCAGATATTTGTTTTGTTGTAAACAAATTGAGTAGTTTCCACAACAAACCAGAAACACAACACTGGTTGGCAGTAAAAAGAGTGCTACGATACTTAAAAGGAACTAAGGATTATAAATTAAAATTTTGCCAAGATAAAGATGAAAGAGGAGTGTTTGGCTACTGTGATTCAGATGGGGCTTCTGACATTAACAACCGGAGATCATGCTCGGGCTACATTTTTTTGTTTCAGGGTACTTCAGTCTCATGGTGTTCTAAACGACAGAACACAGTTGCCTTATCAACCATGGAGGCTGAATATATGGCACTTGCTACGGCCACACAAGAGGCTATGTGGCTAAGGCATTTAGAGTCGAAACTAAATTGGAAGCTTACAGATGTGCCCACCATAATTTATTGTGATAATCAAAGCGCTATCAAATTTGCAGGTAATGATTCTTACTGTGCTCGCAGCAAACATATCGATTTGAGACATCATTTCCTCCGAGAAAGAGTTGCTGATAAGGAAATTCAACTCTGCTATGTTGGGACTCAAGATATGGTTGCCGACATACTTACAAAACCAATTTCTTCAAAGAAGACTGATGACTGTTTCATGGCTATAGGTTTGCAATTAAGAAGAGGATGTTGAAATGATTAATTGCAACACTGAACGCCATCTATAGTTAATATTTTGTACTTGTCAAAAACCTTTACTGTTGGCAACCTTACTCTGTAATCTATTATTGTAATTTTTTTACAATATACAATGTTCAAATATCTTTGAACATGTTTATTTTTAGCATCGGCAATGCCAAGGCAGTGAAAGACACTTATACATAAAAAACACATAAAATGCAATACACATGAAATACGCATGCAATATGTATGTTTAAGATAAGATCATGCACATGTTTATATGTACACATTGTACCCAATTGGTTCTAAAAATACATTTAGGCAATTGCTTGTGTGCATCGACAACAACCCTTATCACGTAACATATACAATGAGTAATATACATATTCACATACACACATACACATATATTTAGTTAGTTAAGATAGTTTTAAAAATTGTATATAAAGCCTTCAAAAATTAAATAAAAACCAGAATGCATTTATTCTCACTGAATGTAAGACTATCATTGCCCCCCACCAGTGGTAAGGAATTTTAGCATTTACATACAGTTTGTCATACAATATTCCGTCGATTTGCTCAGTTCGTGTTATTATTTTAATTTCCTAGTTTAACAAGTAAATACTTAAATACTAACAAATAATAAGACGTACCATGCACCCCAGTACCCACTGAAATTCTGGCAAGGACAAGATGGATATGATATCAACATTAAACAGTGGGACCCAGTCAATGGAAACGAATTAAATAAAAAAGTTAGTTCAATGAACTACTATGCGTATTGATTAATGATTAGACACAATCAGGACAACTATATCCTTCGATATCGTCAATTGTATCATCAATACGTTGTGGATATGTTTGCTAAGATTAAAAGCGTACGTTTGCGATTCATTCGGTTCAACTAAGCTAAACTACGATCAGAGGATTACATTCACTTACGAGATGCTATTGATGGGAACGTCGATGGAAATTTAAACACCAATGAAATGGGGAGTGTTTGAACAAAACTTGAAATCTTTGATTGATTTTATAGTAAAATATTAAATTTTTGGCAAAACGTGTTGTTGGGAAGCTAGTCTTAGTGCCTTAAGTTGTGAACGCCGTTCGCTAAGGGTGAGATCGGTGGTGAGTTGATCCTCTGACCGACTCAACCCTTAACTTTCGGTCGCAAACACAGTCTCCTGTGGTCCGGGATTATTTTTTTCAAATCCTACACGAGCGGCGGCAGAATCGTCGTCGAAGCCTACGCGAGCGTCGGCAGAAACATCCTGGCGTAGTCGTTGTAGCAGAAAGCATCGACAACCAAGGGACCATTTTGTAAAGTTATACTACAATATATATAATTATAGTTTACAAATTTATTGTAACGAACACTGGACACGGCGAGTATACCTCAGCAAATTAGAAGAAGCAGGGACAGCAAAAAGCTTCGTTACAATATGTACAAATACTCGTTTACATGCAAGTTAACGGCAGCCGCCACAGTAGCTTTACGCTAATTATAAACAAAACTGTATCTTTGTACTTAGCAATTATACAGCCTCTCAATAAGCATCTTTGCTTATTTAAGTCATATTATGTAAACTAGTTAGTCTTAAGAATATCAATAAAGAGTATACATTTCAGTGCAGCTCAAAAGTATATTTTTAATAACTCATATCGTGTAAACGATATTAACTCGCGCGTTCACGGAAAACCATATACTTTTTAATCCTTCTTAATCGAAGGAAGTTAATTGGCGCCCAATGTAAGGCCTGTGTTACATGTGTTAGTGACATCCTCGGCAAAAAAAAGAGGGAGAAATTAACAAGTATCCCTAGCCGAAAGGAATAACCAGTGACGCGTGCTGAACAAGTATCGATGTACTTACCAACAATAAATAAAATTATCTAAACAAGATTACTTTGGAGGAAGAATTCTCTGAAGCACCAGCCGAAGAAAATACCGGCACAAATAAAGAAAACATTTAATATTTGAGAGAAAAATTAAGAAATAGAATAAATCAAATACATTCTTCAATAAACATGAATTTACCGTTTCAAACGGATATAAAGACAGAAATCATGACAATTGTTAAAACTGCTATATGGAATAAACAATATCGATATCCTTTTCGTTAGATGCATACTATATACTAAAAGAAAATAATAGGGGAGAGAAATAAACTAAAGCCCAAATACAAGAAACAAGTAATAAAAAAAGATTTAGGGAATAAGGTTTTTAGCTTATAAGAAGAGAAGAATTGTGACCATTGAAGTAAACGGATAGCAGTGAAGAAATAAAATGTAAAGTGAAAATCAGAAGTGTTTTATTGGCGAGTTACAAACTTACATAAATTATTGATCACTCAGGAATTTGATATGCTATGATAATCCATTCTTATCAAAATATTGCTGGTGGCCCTCACACGAAGATAATTGTAAACTAAACAGAACGTTTAACGTTCTGCTGAAATATGCCGCATAAGCTAATATTGTAACTGACACTCTTCTTATTGTAAGAATTAATCATTGTGAAATAGCTTTAAGCAGATAAGAAAAATGTATAAATAAGAGTAAGTTGGAAATAAAGATTTCCATTCCACCAGGACAACCAAAACAATCGTTTTAATTCTTTCCGCGTGTTCGCGAAAAAACTTATATATTTTTAATACTTCCCAATTCAGGGAATTTGAATTCTCTACATTTTCTGCATAAGCTGCCTGTACTATTCACTCTATATAGGCTATAACCACTTGGTTGAACCAAATGCGGTCATCAGGCGCTGTAATATCTGAAAATATGGTCTATGAAAAAGCAAAGCAGCTAGCCATTAAGTTGATTAAGGACTTTAGTCCCACCGCCGGCTGATTATGGCGTTGTCAGAAACGTGAATGTATTTTGGTAAAACAACTTCAAATCTTAAAAGCGCCAACAAGTTTTTCAAACAACTTGATTTAATCTGAAATTACAACGCGAAGGAGATATTTAACGCTGACGAAAGCGGATTATTTTTCAAAGCATTAACTTCGTCAACATTAATTAGATACAATGATAATTCAAAAGGATTCAAGACTTCAACAAATCGTGTTACGGTTTGCTTCATTTGCAACATTACAAAAGAGTTATCGTTATTGCGAACCAACAAAAAGCCACGTTGTTTTAAAAATTAAACTTTACCAGTGCTATACTTTTCACAGAAGAAGCCATGGATAACCCAAAATATATGGGCATCGTTCTTAATCTTAGAAAACTGCAAATACTTTAACCGGTCGATTTTAATTTACTCCCTTTAACTCGTTTCTGCACACTTTGCATTTATGCAGCTACGCAGTTGGAAGTCCATTCTAAATCAATATTTACATAACGAATCGATATCTTCTTTGTTCTTTGTTTTGATAATAAATTTTTAGTTTTGATCAACAGTAAAGTAATAATCTGCACTTTGAAATTTCATCACAGAGCCAAAGCCTTATGACGAAATTAGCTTTAATATTAAGAATTGCAAATGTACTATATAAATAGGTATATGTACAATAATTACTTATAGAAATGAAGGGAGATTTTTGATTTCCACTAAAACTGCGTGTTGACGAATGTGGCAAAAATCCACGATTTAAAAGTATAGCAATTAAGGGGTTAGGGGTAGTCGAAATTCTCAAAAAATCAATTCTCATTTTTTCGTGCCTCTGACTACCCCTAACCCCTTAAAGAAATTGCTACAAGGAAGACAGTTTGCAACGACTGGCGCACGAAATTTTTGTGCAAGATAAAAATAAATTTGAATTTTTAAATTTTTTACATAAATTTTGAGGTTATATGAAAAGATGTTAATACAAAAATTTTAGATATTTTTGACTCGTAGTTTTGCCGGAAATTTAGTTAAACCGTTTTAACCCTTAAAAATTCCACCACGCCCCTTCCATTTTACAGATCGGCCTTAAATTATTTTTTCTTTAATTTTATATATTTTATCTTTATATTTATTTTATTTCTAATCAACACCCAGCGCTTAACGCACTAATTACTATTCAAACTAATCTGAAGCAAAACAATTTACCTTTCAAAATAAAGACTACGCAGGCCTAAAAGTAACAAGTTTTACCTCTAAAGTCAAGGAAATAATGTTGTCAAATAGTACATATATACTTTCACCTTGTAATCAATAATTTATCATTTACTACTTATAATTAATCTATCAAAGTATATTCCGATTAATAAATAATTATCATTTGTTCTTCTCTCTTAGCTTTGTAATAAATGAAATAAATAAAAAAATATATATATATTAAATTCTAAATATATAAATATATCATAAAATTATTTCATAGATTGAATGTATTCTGGAGACTGGAGTTTATTCTATTAAATTTTAACAAGATTCAATCTTTGTACATTCAGTTAAATATTAACTTAATAAACTTTGAACTTTCATGTGTATATAGTTTTGCAAACTTACTTTAGGTACTACGTTTGTTTTCTTTTGCCATTAGACTGGAGAAACGTTGAAAATATTTCGCAATTTAATCAATGAAATTATTCAAAAATTAAAATATTTCGGTGCATGCTGCAATAAATGAAACCAGATGAAAAAAAAAATCTCTTTTAATTGTGATTTGAGCATATCTTACCTACTGCATTTTTGCCAAGGCAGTGTTGTAAGGTCGCATAGAGTAAGGCTGATTCCTGTAATGGCATAACAGGATTGTTCTACATGGTTATTCAAAATACAACAGACACAGGACGCTACGGCGATGTAGGCGTACGACTTGTATTTCACACTGTAGTTTTTTTCGTTTATTGCAGCAAAATAGTATAGCAAAATTTAAACGTATTATTCCAGTGGGACTGCATTTCGAGATATTAGAAATTAAAGTTGGTAAATAAAGCTGCATGTCGTCGATATTAACATCGGTAAATGATAACTAAGTTACTAATTTGTGTGTATGGAGTGCGATTGAAGGTTTATTAGTGTCGAGAGTGGGCGATATGGGAATCGTCACCGAGATCTTGGCACTATCACAATCGATTGACATAATTTTTTTTTTTTTAGTATTTCCTTTGTTAGAACGATGCTGCAATCGAAAAAACTTATCATGATGCAGAAGAAACAACGTGGAACTAAAAATATATGGATAGTATATATTGTTAAAATGGATAAGTTAATTCACAAACAAAAAATAAATCAACTTTGAACGAAATTGTAAACTGGGATACATATTTAACCATACCGTGAAGCTGATTTGTCTCCATCAAAACCATCCGAACTTGTGATTATAACATCCATAGAGTGCAGATGGTGCACCGGCGTCCCTCAAAGTAAATCTTTCGTTACTAGGTACTGCTAAGTACATACACTCTTTCAGTATTAAGATATAAAACTATTGGTTAAGTAAGCGTTAGTGTCGTTCTGTAATATAAAAAGTCTTTTTGGAGAACTCGGGAATGTGTTACACAGTGCTTACGTGTTCCATGCTACTTTTCTGAAATGCGTCTAATCTACGTGGTTTCGTTCACATCGAAGGAGTCGCAAGAAAATAAAGCACTCTGTGAAACTCATCGTGTAGGAAGTGAAATTTAATACTGACAAAAAGAGACCAATTACCACTATTGTTCTTAATGCATCTACTTTTCCAAATTCAGTGAATTTTTTTGCTTGCTTAGCACTGTACTGTTGCGTTATTTGTGATATGCGCCGGACTTCGCTTTGCAATGAACGACAGATTCCACTGTCAAAACTCAACTGTCAAACTACAATCAGTTTTGCGACTTTTTCTATTAAGGCGCAACTCCATAGCTTGCGTGTTTGTATGGCGGTGTCGGAAGATTACTGAAATAATTAATTTGCAAAGACTTTTTCGTTAGAATTTTTTCATTCTGCGGATGGTTACTGATCTGCAAGTTAACAATCGGTGAAATTACAAGATAATATGAGAGAACTCTTGTGTATGTGTGATCGTTCATTTCTCTCTTCGTGACTTTCTGGGTAATATAAAAACGTCATATAGGGTTGCCGCTGATTTACTGAACTACGGCATTCAACTGGTTAAAATTTATAACTGAATTGAAATAAAACCAAATTGGAAACAATATTATATTGATTTTTATTTTATTTCATTACTCTTTTGCGTACATTTGGCTGATTTGATATCTTAAAAATTTACACAGTTCGATCTTAATGCCTTTTGTTTTCTCTACTTGCTCTGTTCTAACAAATTCAAATGCAAAATTGCACTCGTGCGTACATACATTTATGCTCGTATCTGTGGTCTCTACACACCCTTTAATTCTCATGCCTTTATTATATATATAAGATTTATATTTTGAAATATTGTGAACAGGCTTTACCTAAGCTATGTATGGACGCTGATGAGTAAATTTGAAAACTATTCGGTAGTAGAGAATAAAGTCTCTGTTACCGAATGAGTTTTGCATTATTTTCGGATATGACTATCTCATCAAAATTTTGGATTAAATTCGCGGAAGATTCAAATAATATTTCGCTTTTGCTTAACATATGTGTATGGATTTAAGGAATAAAAGAAAATTGAGGTAATTGTTTATACCCTTCCGGATGTCAGTGGGTAAATAAGGTATATAAGTCTCGTTAATTAATGTTTAAGCAGGCTTTTCCTGTTTATTGCCAAAAGATTCTAATTTGAGACACAGTAAATCGCAACATTTACACCTATTTTATTTTTCTTACAATATAGTTTTAATAACAATAAAGAAAATCGAAAAAGGGTGCAAGTTTTGTATTTTTTGAATTTCGCATTTAGTTCAACTCATTTAAATTTGAAATTACAATTTTTTATTAAGTTTTTTAAAATTTATTTTTTATCAAATCACAGATTTTGTTTTTGTCCTCAAATTTGTTTTTCAATTTATGCGTCGTTTAAAGTAATTTCGAAATTTTCGTTTAGTGTAGAAGAGCAAAATTTTGAACATATTCTTATTGGGTCACAATTTAGATTAAAGTTAAATTTCATTCATTAATTTTGACTAAAGTACGATAAAATTTCCAATTAACTAACGAGTCAACTTTTTTATTACAACACTTTTTAAGAATACATGTTTTATACAATAGTTTTGTATCATCGGTGTGTTTGTATGCGTCGCTTTTGTGGAAAGCCCCTGAGAGTTTTTCGCCCCTGCGTGATTTTAGTTGATCTGACGAGCTCTATAACGAGGTATTTCGGCATCTTAAAACAACTTCGGATGTGAGTATGGGCTGTTATTTAGCCCAGCACTGTACAGAGTGGCAGGCTTGCATTGATAGATTTACTTGACTATTTCGAAACTTTCTTTTACCGCCCAATAAAGTGAGTTACTATTATATATTATAGCCATCACAAGACTATTTTTGGTTATAATTCAGTTATTATTCGCTTTTCCATGAGCACAACCGTACTAAAGTTAAAATAAAATTTGTCTAAAAACCACTCAAAACAAAAGTTGAAAGTAGGGGCCAGAAATGGACCATTCCCAGATTTGGAATATGTGATCTGCCGCAAGTTTCAACAAATGTTTTCAGTAATTGTTAATTTATTGTTTTGGGTAGTCAATTAGTGTAAAAAATAAAAGTCAATCAATTTTTATTTAATTTAGTTATATTTTCACTTTATTAACAAATTCAAAAATGTTTTAATAATGAAAAGTTTTAACGGCGTTCGTCAATGAACGCAATTTTAATTTTGAGAAAAAGTAAAATTAATTGTAGTGGTAATAGTATGTATGTATATTAAAGCAATAAAATAAATACAATACACTCTTTTAACTTATGTACAAACTAATTATAATTTGTAATTGTGTTTGTATTTCTTGTATGTGTGTGGGTGTATATAAATTTAGATGATTTGAGTCGCACCAAAAATTAAAAAATATACATAAATAAAATCATATAAATTTGCACGTGAGGCCTAAACGTAAATTTTGTACAAAAAATTTTTGCTTAATTCATAATATTTTTTTCGAATATTTGAATATCTCTTACTTTGTGTAAAAATAGTTAACAGCCAAACAAGAATTTTGTATGTAAATTTGAGAGAAAATAGATCACAGTTTGTTGTATGTTTTTTAATTTTAAATGTTTAAAATTTTGATAAAAAAAAATTAATAAATTATCGCGCATGACTACCAACACACGCCGTTATTTGTTTTTTTGTTTTTTTTCGTTTGTTTTCATATTCATGCTTTAAACTACACTTACGAAAAATACGAATTCATTAAGTATTAAAGAGTACAATAGACAAAAACAAAACAAAATTAAAATTAGTTAAAAACCATTAAAAATAAATTATACAATTACAATTTAAGGAAACTCTGTCGTCTACAGCTAGATACAGCTAGACACATACACATAATCTATATGGCGCCTATGCAACTACATACTTATGTACATACGCGCTTAATCTTTAAAACATTTGTTAGCACTGAGTCGATAGCTGTTAGCTGAGTCACGTGATTGAAACGCTCTTGGTTTGCTTTGCGCTGTTTTGAAACTCAACTCAACACTCAGCTGTACCGGCGCACTTGGCGACTGTTTGGCACATATGTCCCTCAAGCGGGAAAACCCTACTGGAGCTGTGTTAAGTCGCCGAATCTAGCAATTTGCATGAAAGTCCGCCACTAACTGTACAATGTGTGCTTATATATATTATATAATATTTTTGACTTTTACGGGGCACGGTTTGATTAGTTGGGTTCACAACATTTTCTGCTTGCGGTGTGACTTTCTGTGTGAATCTGCTTTTGTGCTACAAGAGCTCTTGTTGCTAGCGTCTTAAGCTGTCTGCTTGCGCTTAAAAGCCTTCTTGTGCTACATTTCTGCCTTGTTTTTGTTCTGTCTGATTATATATATTTATTTTTTATATTTTAGTTTATAATTTATAATTTTTAATTTATAAGTAGTATTTCCTGAGTTAATTTACGGATATGTGCAAAATAGCAATTCGACAGTCGCGCTGCCAAGTCGGCGCGCTTGATACTGGCAAAGTGTTATTTTTTTTTTTTAAATGCTAAAATTACATGTTCCTGTTTTGTTGTGTTTTTCTAAATTTAATTCGTGAATTTTAAATATGTTTCAACTTATAGTTTTTCTTGGCATATAATTACTTGTTTTAAGTTTGCTTTGATATTTACACGCTTATATAGTTAAAAAATTGTGTTCTACTTTGAGCGAAAATCTTTTTAATATACATTTAGAAAAATACTTTTGTTTTTGTTTTGGTTTTAACGTTTAAACATTTTTTCAGCAATTACCACAATTTCGCTGTGAAAATTGTGCGATTTTCTTTTATGAAAATAAAAACTTTGAGGTTTTTGAGGCTTTTCGTACTGAATTTCTCGACGTTTTTCAAACTGCTTCGTGTTTGCAGATGTTTTTTCAATATTACTTCTTCTTTGTAAATGTGTGTTTGTACATGTTTTATGCAATTACAAATCTAAGGTTCCAAAACAGTTATGCAAATCTATTTTATTCAATTTTTATTATATATTTTAATATTTTTACTTTTCATTTGCATTTCATTTTCATTTGTTTGTATAAATTTCAAGTAATTTGTACTTCACTGGTGAAAATCACTGAGTTTGTTGTTGTGCATTTTGCATAAATATGTCTGCGTCTTTCATATGTGTGTATAATTGGTGACTTACTGTTAGATTTGTATGTGTGTGTACTTGTGTATTGTATACATATATGTTTGTAAGTTTGCAATAAATTTCATAGATTCCATTTTAAGATTTAAATTTGTATGCTTAATTTTAAGGTTAAGTTTGTTTGTTTCTTTTCCTTATGTTGTTGTTGTTGTTTTTGTTTCTTCATTAATTTAATATATTTAATTGCATAGAAAAAAGGACATTCTACTGATATTAATCCCTGATAAAGTTCATTTTACATTTACATACATATAATTAAGTTTAATTAATGTATTTAATTATGTATACATATTTGTATGTATGTATATATATATATATATATATAAGTATCCAAATTTGCAATAAACGCAATAAACTATGCATTTCTAGTACAAATTGGTTTTCTTTACCTCACTATATTTACTTTATTATCATAATTAATTAAGAAATGCAAACGGCCGTTTTGGCACACTGTGTTGCCCAAATTACGCCTAATTAAAATCACCAATCACTCCCAGTTTCTTGTGTTGATCTGCGTACATATTTCCAAGTGGATATTTCTTTTATTCTTTTGCTAAAAACTGCTTAACACTTCACCTGACTTTCTAACAAATACTTTGTTTACTTTAATTAATTGATTTTAGATTTTATTTTATTTCTTTTGTTTTTGTTTTGTTTTTGTTCAGTTGGAATACATTTGATTTTTAGAGATTTTGCCGCGCATTCGAAATGAATTCAAAATTAGTAAAAGTAAATGGCGAAACACAAGAAACCGATCGCTAAAACTCTATGTTGCACAATAAACTATTTGCTTCTCGGTCTTCTCCATATAAAAGCAGAGACGTGCAGCGGCAGAGGCGTTGGAAAATTTGCGTTAATTTATTTTACTTTTTCCGCTTGATTTCTGCTAATCAATTTCAATTTTGCTAGGTAGTCCGAAAGGTAAGTTGCTAACTTCGCGTATACGCCATGATATGTACAAGTATGATAAGGGGAAAGCAATTGCCAACCCCCCACCGCTGCATACGCCATGTGCCAGCTATGTGGAGGCCGTACTCACTATTTAAGTCCTTCATTCTCTTTCCAATTTGGCCAAGAACTATCGTACAAGTATGGTTTCAATGCATCTTAGCTTTGCAGTAAGTAAATAATTCATAATAATTAATCTAACGGTAATTGGTAAGTAAACTAGGATTAAATGTAGCTACATTAATAGATATTAGACGTTCTCAATACTACTAAATATTTGCTTACAACTGCATAGATGTGTGTGTGAGTGTGTATATTTACAATGATCCGTTCGCTTATACTTATGTAACTCCTCCACTGTTGCACTTCTACACAAATATGTTGCTGTATGTGTTTTCTTATTGCGTTTGAAGCCAGTTTTCAGCAATTTGCCTCCCTATCTTCGCTTCCGTTATGTATTGCACTTGCGCGGCGCTGTGGCCGCGCTCTTAACCGCGTTTCGTACGCATTTGCTTTGAATATGCATTTTTGTGCATGTGTATGCTTGTATGTGTGTGTGTGGGCAGTTGATGAAATAAAATCGACCGAACTGATTCCAAATTACATTCAGTAATGCCCAAGCATTACTCAATTACAAGTACAACAATTAAAATAAGTAAATTAGTATGCTCGCCTATGCATAAGTAGAATTGTAAATATGTATGTATGTATGAGTTTAGATAAATCCGATAGCCGATTGCGCGCCCACGCTCATCTCAGTGGGTCCTCTAGAAAATCGCATTCCATCTGAAATCCTATTGTATGCCCGGTGGTGGCTGTCCCAGCTCGCTAGTGAAGTCAAAGAGGCTGGCGCGCGGATGCGTCAGATGGTGGTGATGGTGATGGTGCGGCGGCACGAGCACGTTCTTGATTGCGGATGTCTTCAGTAGGCGCTTTAGCATGCCGCTTGAGCCGCGGTGCTGTAGGCTCTTGTGTGTGGTGAGCGAGTTCTTGGTGCGATAGCGTCGGTGGCAGAACTCACAGACATACAGTGTGTCGGACTGTTCGTGCTTGTCCTGGAAGTGTCGCTTCAGCGAGTAGTAGCACGAGAAGGTGCGTCGGCAGTAGGGACACTCTTGCGGCTCGTTGATGCCGCCGCTGGTGGGTGGCGGCATGCGCAGCGGCATTTGTGGTGGTGTGGTTGTCAAAGTGGGCGTTGCAGGCAGAGTGCCGCCGCTGGCTGTGCCGTTAGGTGTGATGTTGCCGCCGCTGCCGGGGCGTGGCGGCGATGAGCTGTGCATGTTGAAGAGGCTGGCGCCGACGCCGCTGCCAACGCCAACGCCACCATTGCATGCTAACGAGTTTAGTGAAGAGGGTGACGGCGAGGTGAGCGCCGTAGGCGGTGAGGGTGGCGAAGAGGCCGAACTTGTTGGTGACGCAGCTGCTGAGCGGATGGCTGTGTGTGCGCCTAAAGGGGGGAAAGAGGACAAGCAAAGGGTAAAGAAAATGTCGATTAGTATTTGATAAAAAAGATTCCGGCGTAGGCATGGTCTCTTCGAGAAGTAAAAGGAAATCAAAAGTGTGTGTGTGTGCGCGTGTAAAGAGTGAGATAGTACGCGTAGAAATGAGAAATAATATTAAATATACAAGTATACAATTGTTTACTAGCGAAATATTTTTAGATAGAGTTCGTAATATATTTAAATTAATTTATTTAATTTTGAAGCGAGAGAAGAGACAGCAGAAGAAAGGCTTAAACTATTTGAATTGTGTAAGAGTAAATGTGGAGGTATTCGAAACCAGCTCTAGGTTAAATATACAAATAATTTAGAATTGGAAAAGCAGTTGGTAGCTTCTGTAGTGGTCGCTTTGAAAGCGACTTTCAAAGAAATTTCATCCTTTTTTTTCTATAAAATATTCTAAAAAAGTGGTGTTTTGAGGATAGTAAAACTCCTTTTTTAAAGCGAAAGTTGAAAAAAGGTTGCGTAGTTGAAATTTATAAGAATGAAGTAACTCAACTAATCCCCAAGTAGGCGTAGAACTGCTGGCGAGAGCTCTCTGCTTTGCTATTTTATTTGGCTATTTCGGATAGGCAATTCTACGCGCTGACTTGAGTTACTTAGCGTAATATATATTTTCCAACTTAAAATATCACTTTTAACGGTAAATAAGTACAATAGAAAGAATTCGAAATATATTTACATAATAAATTAAGACAAAAACACAAATGAAATGATCAAAATTACAAATGTGGCATGCAACAATTTTCTACTATTTATATATATGTGTATGTGTGTATATATATACATGCGTATGTATTGATAAGCGTTAGATTACAAGCTACGTGCAAGTCAAAGGGAGTCAAGCATACAGGTGCAAGCAAAGCGCAGGCGAAGCCACGGAGCGCTGGCTATGTAAAACGGCGTAACAGTAAAAATTAAAAGCGAAAGCAAAAAGGCAAAGCAAGCGCAGTTGTTTGATCGACGCATGAATTTCGAGTGTGTGCGCATGTGTGTGTGTTTTCAGCGTTAATTTATATATAAATGATTGAGAGGGAGTGAGAATGTGGCAGGGCGCAGAAGACGTGCCTGCACAGATGTGTATGGGTGCATGTTTGTATGTATGTATTTATGTATGCGATGATGATGATGACGATGATGAAGTTGATGATTTTGGTTGTTGACGATGAAATAAAAATACAATAAGGACGTCGAACGATGTATTGTGTGTGTGCGCGTCATGACTGCTAGGCTGATGAGTGATGATTAGCTGATGAATTGAGTAAGTCATAAGCAGAGTATTCATTACTTAAATAACTTATGCAAGTACATACGTAGATGACGGTCTGTAAAATATAGCAAAAACTTACCAAACTCAAAGGAGATGTACTAGATACATCCTAAATTAAGTATATTCAAGTTGAATTTATAAATATTTATTATGGAAGAGGTTTAAGAGTATTATTTAATTAGAAGAAAAACGCAGTGGAATTCCATACAACGAGGACGTGAGACGGAGACAATAGGAAAGAAAAGAGAGAGATATATATAGACTGACTATAGCTACAACTTCTCTCGGGTAGAGTTCAGGAGAGTGGATAGTGTCAATACGGAGATTAAGATGAAATAATACAAGGAGATGACTTACAGATGAAACCCCTGTTGAATAAGTTTATGTAACGGAGCGGAGTAGAGCAAAAATGAGAACGGCCATCAAATCTCTCAGCAGTAGAACACCATAGATGACAACTTACACATATATATAATGATAAAATAAATAAATCTTAATTTTTGAAATTGAAAAAGAACAAAAAAATTTTTTTTTTTAATTTTTTCAGCAGGTTGCCACTCCTAGTCCCTAGTCCTCTTAAAATCTCCAAACTTTTCAATCGCATGTACGTCGTTGTACATATGTATGTAAGTAGAAGCTAATTCAGTACATGTGAGATAAATATTTAGAATAAAAATAAAATAAAAACAAAAAGTAAATAACTGTTTTTAGTAAAAAAGCGAGAAGGGGTTAGTCGAACTAGTGATGAATCAAAGAAATAAGCACTGCCAAGGAAGTTAGCGGTTAGTTTAGAAATATAGGGCTACTGCAGAGGCGTGAATTTCGAGATAGAAATTGAAAAGTGTAGACCCAGACGTTGTTTTACTGGAGCCCCTTAGCAGCTTACTATTCTACTCGTGAAAGTATGTATATATATTTATTGTATATGTACAAATGTATGAATGAATACTAAAAGAAAGCCTTTAGGCCGCAATTTATATACATATGTATATGTATATATGTATGTATGTGTATATGTATGCATTCGTGCTTTCTTCACCAGATGATTTCTCTTTCGTATGCACTGTGCATATGCGTATGCATTATTTAACTACAAGCTGTCATAATGAATAGTGGAATGTCTTATAGGATAGTAATTAGATTTAGCCCAACATTGTGCTAGAATCAATACGAGATATCAACAATACAGCAGTGAAATATTACCTACAAGTATGTATGTAATATAACGGTGTGAATGAGAGCGAGACCTTTAATACTAATGCTCGGACAGAGGGTCCAACTAGTTGAGAGAGATATATAGGTATATATATATATAGAGAAATAAAGAAAGAGTGAGTGATTGTGTGAGAAGATCCATTACAATTACGGAGAGATACACCTTCTAGTGTCGTCGAGTGAGTTTGATAGCGTATGTGTGAGAGAGAGAAAGAGAGGAGATTATTAGACCCAAAAGGGATAGTGTGGGCCAATAGGTAGAGTGAAAGACAACGGTTTAACAGATGAAGATATAGCTATATTCATAATTATTTGAGTGGATATAGTCCGTGAACGTGAACTAACTACTTGAAATAGTTCCAGTTTATTTTTGCTACGAGTTTGTTCTTGATGACTTTTTATTTGCTAACCTTGACGTTGGTAACTTCAATCATTTGGCATGGTTGACCCAAAACCGCGTTAGGCTGCTTATTTGTAGAGTTGTCATGAGCTATTAATTGCTTGAGTACTTTGGGCTCATCTCTCACTTTGGATGTTTGTTTTTGGGGGCTTGGGTCAGGGAATCAATTTTTGTAATTTCTTTGTACGCGATTAATGTTTATGATAAATACTTTGCTGAGCACATCAGAAGATTGCTCGCGCTGTTGCTCCGCCGATGCACACACATTCTGCTATGAGCCGACAAGTCTACGCGCCGCGCAACGAAGTTCGTAGCTCGAGTCTTTTGTATCGCTGCGTGTGTCTTTATGCTTCAATGTGGCGCCGATCCATTTTGCAATTGTTTATAATTACTCGTAAATATTAGTTATTTATGTTTTTAGTTCAGTTTCCAGTAAGCTAAGGCTAGTAAGTTCAACAAGTCTGTTCCTTGTCACCGATATAGTTCCATATAGATACATAAGTTATAAAAATGTGTAAAGGGCATTATTATAAATGCCGTAAAAAGGTTTCTAGTTCGAATTGACTACATTAAGGAGTTTATATGCACGCACACATACACGCTCCGAATGCGTGCGTGTGCGTGTGGTAGACACAATAGAAGGCCACAGTGGGTAGTTGTGGAATACGGTGGTCATTTAGAATAAAAGTCCTGCACGAAAAAGTCGTGCAATGTAGAACGAGTACGTATGCGGTTTCTATTTATACGAGTATGCTGCGTAAATGTAATATAAAGGTTTGCAGCTGCTTACATACATTTGTTTGTATGTATGTTGCAAGTAAACTTAAACTTATTTGTATATGCCTTCGTATATGCTTGAGCTCCTACAATGCGCCTAATATTGTACACCTAACCTAAAAAATTATTTGCGCTACTAACATAGGTATATACGTATGTCTGTATGCATGTATGTATGCATGTGTATATTGTAAATAGTTGAGCAGTTACGGTTTTAGTTCCAAGAGAGCTAAGTTGAGAATCTTGCATATGTGTGAGTGTATGTATAATTCTAATGCTTAAATTGTCAATTGTTTGCTAATCTCTATATTATGCATATAGTAGGCAGTTATGTATGTACGTGTATAGTTTTCTGCAGTTGTCAATGTGTGTATGTCGCTAACTTCTAAGGTTTACAGTTATCACTACTTTATGGCATTGCTTTAATGTTATTGTTATTTTGTTTTTGTAATTTTCTAGTTCTAGATTTTTTGTCGCTATAGTCGAGCCACTCGTGCATACTCGGCACGTAAGTCGAGATCCGAACCTAAAGCTTTGGTCTGCGTCGGTATCGGTGGCGACGGGTGGCGTTGGTACATGTAGTAGTCGTACAAGGTCATTATTTGTCGTTGTTTGATGAGATTCTGCAAATGGAATGCGTCGTCTTGGCGAGAATGTGCTTGTTGCATTTGTGGTACTGAGTCACCATGCCGCCATTGGTGGTACTCAGTATAGAGGTAGTGTTGTTGTTGTTGTTGTTGATGTTGCTGCTGTTGTTGTAATCTATATTGTTGTTGTTGTTGTTGCTGATTTTTATCACATTTGGTCAGCTGAGTTGCTGTGCTCATCTGTTTACTGGCAATCGGGCTCGTCTCCCTTGCAGCTTGAGCATGCAAGCTGTTTGTGCTTTCATCTATTGGCTTTGCTAGTGTGACTGTTGGCGTCTGTGTTGGTTTTGGTTTGAGTGCTATTGGCATTGCGGCGATTGTTACCGATGGCATATTGCAATTATACAAATTGCGCATCGCGTTTCAGATCGACGAATTGAACGGATGATAGAGCTTGATGTCCTTCATTTCCATCTCACCGGGGCGCGATTTGTGGTATGTGTAAATGTGTGTCATCAGGGAGTTGCGCGAGCAATATACGCGCTCACAGATGATGCAGCGGTATTCCTCTTGGCGCACGGCGTGCTTGTCGGCGATGTGACGCTTGAGCGAGGCTTTCGAACATAGAAGCTTACCACACAGATGACATGAGAAGAGTTTCTTAGGTGAATGTCCTGGAATTTTTGTAAGTTAAGGATTTTTGGTTTGTACCGATTAACGTATAAATGCAAATAATCATTCAAATCACGCAAATGAACTTAAAATAACAATTCTTATTCAGATATTTTGTATGTGAGTACCATAGTAGACTTGTATATATGTATATATGTATGTGTGTATGCATGTATGTATTTATGTAGTATATAGTAGTAGTATATGCGAAAGTAGATGAGCGCACTCATAGTAGCTGTGTGGCTGTGTGTAGAGTGGTACGTTATAATCCAGATACTTATGTATATACTTAAATGATTGAACAAACGGTAAATGTATAGCAAAAATTGATTAAAACGAAAAACGTGAAACGAGAAAACGATGGCTGACCAATGTGCAAGTTGGCGGATGATTTCGGTTATGCGCTTATTGCGTAACTGTACTTACACACTTACAGCTAGAATAAATAATCAAGTACTATGTTAATAGCATAACATGTATCCATATATGTGAGTGTGTGTGTATGTATAATGCGCTCACGGTGCATTAATATGATGAATAAGGTGACTTGTAGCCTTTCAAAATTGAACTGAAAAATAAAAATTGTTCCACAAACAAACCAAAGAATAAAAAAAATTGCACAAATGGCTTACGTAATTGTACGGATACTTATGATTACATATTGTTTGGGATGCAGTTATTACAAAAACAACGAACATACATATATGTGAGAGCAGCAAGTTGGGCATAAGTACCGCTGGTGAAACGAGCGTACCCCAAACGTGTGTGTGGGGACAAACCGAAACCATTTAGGCAGTGCCGATTCATAATACAGAGATACAGTTATGTTAACTAGCTACGATGATATGTACTTATATCGAAATCAGCATTGCGGTGTTGAGCTCCAAATGAGCTTTGAAGTTTGAATTACGAGGATAAAATATAAAATATGATACCACACACCAAGCGAACCTATTGCGACCGAAAATTGTCAGCCAACTTGTCGAAGCTGGTATGGCGACAGCAGTTTCCTTGGCATTACTGATTTTATTTCAGAATAGGCTGCAGTAAATAAGATAATAACTCTTTGATCCTTATTCGTAGTACCAATACCAAATGATTAGTACAATATTTATATTTATTAAATATTGATCTACATTAACACATCATTACTCGCACTAAGCCCTTAAAATGTAGCCTGTGGTATGAATAGAGAGATGAGCGCGACAATGTGCAGCGGGGTCAGGCGTTCACAGCGAAGTCTTACCTTTTTTTAACAGTAATTATTATATATGCATGTATTTGTTTACTTAAATGTATGTATATATGTATGATATGAATAATTGAGATTTTATGAGCGGGCAGCTGTTAACCTAACCGAAGGTGATGTAAGCTATGAATATTTGAGGCTTAGCATACAACTCGAATAACACTTCTCACCGTCACAAAAGTGAAACCCATTTCATACACAGTCTAGCCCAAGGAAAGCTCAAAACAAACGCTTAATTTTATACATTTTTTCACAGTTGGATTTTTATTTAAAATAATAATTCGATAAATTTCCGTTCTCTACTGCTCTCCCTTCTTCTTCATTTTGCAACTATTTACGAAAATACTTTGTCGTTTTGTTGTTAAGTGAATTTTCTTCACTGTTTTGCTATAAATACTTTGTTCTCTTTGCACTTCGTTGTGCCATTCAACATTATCGTGTGTACTTGTATGTATGCCTGTGTGCGTGTATACATTTATTAGCACAAGTGATAACGTAAGTATGTACGAGTATGTAGTCAGTGTTTTGCGTGATGTCACCTTGGTCTAATCTAATTCAAAAAGAAAATCTTCTAACTCGTTGTTCAATCAAATGGCGTCTGGCGAGAAGAGAGAGAGATTTGGGATAGTAAGAGCGCACAGCATAGATTGAATCTATATTTGAGACCTTTGAAAGCTCTGTGCAGAGCTTAAACCTGTTCAATAAGCAATGCTCAGTGTTTTAGCAACTTTCGAAGTTTTATTTTAAACTCTCTTCCAATTTTTATATTTTGACATGTTTTCATCTTAAGCTCTCCCTCCTCGCTCCTACCTAATTTTCTGTTTTGAGGAATTTCTTACCCTCATTCTTTAAGTAAAGCTTCGGGATCACAACGAAAGGACATTGCAATTTGAGACATACCGATTGACAATTTGAAACCAAACAAACAGCAATGCGTTCATTGGTCCTCATAGATAAAATGATTCTGTTTAAATAAGCACGCATATCTTATTTTATCTTATATTTCTATTGCGGTAACCTTCATTTGGTTTATTTTATTGGATCTATGTTTATTATAGGTTCTTAGTTATTGTTATGACTTGTTAGGAGAGTCTTGCGGCCATTATTTTAAAAGCCGGTACACCGCTCACTTTGCTCTTTTCATATTTGATCGGCTTATTGGCTCTTGCTTTCTATGGTCTATGGCCTATGGACTATGGATTATGGTCTATGGATTATGGTCTATGGCTTATGTTAATGGTTATGTTTGTATTTTAAGAACATGTAGCTCGGAGTTGTACACACATAATTCACTTAGGAAAACAATAAGAGATACGACATTCTATTTTTTGTTCGATTACAGTTGTTATGTTTTTATTGTAAGAATTTAATATTTCCATAATGCTATATAGTATGCAGTAGTAATTGTAGTAGTAGTAGTAGCTTGATGTTGGTATGAGTAGTTTATTGGAGATGGACTTGGGGTAGTGTGCGAGTGTATGGAGACCTGGTAGTGTGCGCGTGTTTTGTGTAGGAGTGAGTGAGAAGGGTGTTGGGTTTGTGTCATTTTGGGTTTAAAGGAAGGAAGCTGACGGGATCTTTGTATGCATGTGTTTGTGTATATGAATATTTGTGTGTTTGTATGGCGGTTTGCTGATGCTTCTGATGGATTTATCTTATAGCTATTTGGTTTTTGTATGTGTACCACATGTTTTGTGGTACTTTATGTTTCGTTCATATATTATTTGTTTCATTCTCCTACAGTGGCTCACTTTTGCGTTGTATTATGTATAAAATTAACGTTAAAGGACACAAGTTGAGAGACGTTGAACGTACAAGTGTATAGTATATGTATGTATGTAATTATGTATCTATGTATGTTTGTATTGGTTTATATATAAATTTGTTTATAAACGACATTTAATAATAAAAAAAATCATATTAACAAACGAACATTATTTCTCTTGCTTTTAATTATAATAAGTATTTCAAATATGTACAATAAAATTACTCTTACATACATTACTTAGTATATGTGTAATGAACTATAAATTTAATTTTGCTTTTGTCACGCTATGGAGACTTTTGTGTACAATCTTTAGGTTTAGGTTTTTATCATATACATATTCATCATATATTATATATATAGATATGCATATATACAAATATATATATATATCCGTTTTATTACATACACTTTTTTACAAGTTTTATAAAATTCTATTTGCTATTTAATGGATATTATATATCGTTTTCATATACTTTTCTCATTTACAAAATCAGTTTCTTGTCCTTCCTACTCCTACATATGCACAAACGCATAATGAATATACTCGTATTTATGTATTTATGTATGTATGTAAAGCATATTATATAAAACATTAATTTTCTAAACTATATTTATTAGTGAATTTAATTCGTAAGTGTGTTAGTAAAGCACTTTAGTTCAAACTAAGTATATACGCATGTCTAATGAGAAATGCTGAAATAAAGTTAACGGTATACCATAAATATGTATGCGTATGGATCGAAACACGTCCTCGCATATAGTATGTGGACTTTTCAGTTGTCAACTATATAAAACCTAATGTGTGTGTGTAAATATAATATTAACAAGAAATACCGTATATAAAGGATAAAAAAGTTTTGAACTCCTCACAGCGCTGCCGATCAGGCCAGCGCCATGATAAAGGTGGTAAATCAAAGGTAATAATAAAAAACTAAATTTAGTAAAAAAAAAATATTTGCCTTTGTGTAAATAACAAAATTTGGTATCAAATTGTTACAATAAAACAGACTTTCACCTCCAAGAATATGCCTAGTATTTTTTCTAAAATTTCGCATGAAAATTAAATACAAAATTTCATTCCTTTGTGTAATTTCATTTTTACTTAATACATAGATATTTGCCCGATTTCGACTTCGACTAAAGTTTCAAGTCAATTTTAACAAATTTATCAAGTTTGCACATTTCGTTTAGCTTCCAAAATGTCGCTACAAAATCAGTATCAGATAAAATTAGGGAGCGAATTTTTAATTATTTCGCACAAAATATACAATTTCATAAATAAAAAAAAAAAAAAAATTGTGAAATAATTTTTGGTTTCTAAATTTTACTTTTTTCGAAATGCCAATTCTCAGTCTTCTTTAAATGAAGTGAAAATTATTAAATTACTTTCTTCATTTTTCTCGAATTTCTATAGCTAAGTGCAAAAATTTTGATTTAACGTACGCATGTGTTTGTGTGTCACACACACTCTACATGCTTTTTATGCCAATTAATCTCAAATCACAATTTTTAGTCATAAATTTCACAATACCGATAGAGTTGTATACATACATATACCAAAATAATAATTTTGCACGAGATTTAAATCTGTTTTTTATAATTTGCCTAAATCTATCAGTTCTTGCTTCTGCTGACATGACACTCCCTTATCCCAAATAGTTCTAAATATTTATCGGTAACATCTACTGCGCCAAAGGAGTTTCTAAAATTAAAATTTCGTAGCCAATTTAAAACTTCTGAGTTGCGTTAAAGAAAGCACAAAAAAGTGACGAAAAAGGCCCGTGTGATTTAATGTTTTCACAATGAATTGTAAAATTGTTAAAAAAATATTTGTTTTAATACTCCAATTTTCGAAAACGTTTTCAAGGACATAAAAAAATAAAGTTGCTAAAGTTTATACACAGTTATGTACATATGTATGTCTGTATATGTGTACATACCATTTAATTATCGCCTATATACAAGGATGTCGTTCTACTATTTTA